AAGTGGTTGAAGATAGAGTCTTCCAAAAGATTGTATATTAGTAGAAATCCTACCAACAGTCAATCTTATGAGCAAGGATAGGAAAATTCAAGGATGTCTGCTCCTTATCCTTGGGGAATTGTAGCTTTATGGTGATCCTTTCTGGCAAATTTAGATGGTTGCTAAGAGGGTTGATCGGAGATCTTTAGGAAGGTTGGTGACTAAGATTGTGGATGTTAGTTGAGATGGTGGATTCAATGGATCTGTTTTGTTTGTCTATGTTTTATCTTCCTTGCAGGTATTGCTTTGTGAATATGGACATGACTTTTCGATAAGGGAACCATGGGATCAAGGGTGTTTCTTACAAGCAGGAGATGTATAGGTTGCCTATTTGTAGCTGTAATATAAGGATTGGTGGGGCTGATGGTTTTGATGATTATGTGGGATGGATAATAGCAGCTGGGGTTACCAAATATTGTGTTAGTTGGTGCTATTGTGGTCAGAATATGTATACATATAAAGGGCAGTATAATGGTCTAGAAATTTTTTTCTTTGTTATCTAAGTAGTTATTTTGGTGACTATGCAAATATGAACTTCACTAGGGTTTTGTTGCATTGGTTAGGTTGGACAGTAGTTGTTTATGGTTGTTTATACTTTATTTTTTTGTCTATTGTAGAGCTGGAGTGCAATAGATTGGATCACTGCTTATAGTTTTTCCCCGCTTTTGCTTGTGATAATTGTACTAAAATTTTATACGATAGAATTTGTTGTCTTGGGACTGCTGGGTTATATTAGCTTCTTGTGTAGTGCTGCGGTCAGGGGCAGTGTTCTTTTGCTAGTTTTTGTAGATTCTATTGTCTGTGTAAAGGGTCTGTTGTTCTTTTGTTTTTGTAGCAAGTTAGAGTGGTTTTTTGCTATGTTGTAGTTTGCTTTGTTGTTGGCTCTAAGTTTGGTCATCCTTCTTTGGTGACCCTTTTTTGTTTTGTTCGCAACACTTGGATTGTCAAGGGGTTGGCTTTAGGTAAAAATTACATAACACTAAGAAAGGAAATGGGAATTGGTTGATGTTTTCTATATTCCTTCGGCAAAAGAAATACACATATATACACAAAAGAGAGAATAAAATCTTTGCTAATTACATTAGCATTGTTACATATGCATACATTAAAATATTTGCTCTTGAAATAATTACAGTTAGCTACTTATGAAACGCATAAATTAAGCCATACCATGGAGAACTATTTTTTCTTTCTCATGGAGGAGGAAACATAGCATGAGCACCATAGCAGAAAATGTACAAGCTAAGAGAAGTAGGCAATCCATCCAAATTGAAGAGCCTTCCCTTGCCATGGAATTTGACACTCTTTCTCATGCCAACGCAGAAAAAACAAACAACAATAATCAAAGAAGAGAGCACCCCACCAGTAGAAACATAAGATAGAACACTGAGATCATTGAAGCACATAAAGGGTAAGATCATGACACCAGAAAGGATAACAAAAGCATGTCTCCCATCAACTGTTAAACCCCCAATCTTCAAGGCAAAGTGTTAAATTGTGATATTTTGCTGGAAATGTAAAAGTTTGTTAAGTTAGTTTTTAAATCTGTTCTGGCGTCAAAAGGGAACTGCAATCTGCCGTCTTTGTTTGTTTTATAGCTGTATATGTTAGATTTTATGATAGATTTAGGTGTGTACAACCGGGATATATGGGACTTGTCCATAATGGTTGTTGTAGTATGTCTTAATGTATGGTTTAGGATTAATGTTGTGTAAAATATCCCTACAAAGTGTTGTAAACAATGGATATTTTTGCTTTATTTGTTTTGTTGAAAAACCTGGTTATGCAATGAAATCAAAAAGAACCTTCTCTTCAATTTCGACTATTTCTTTTCTTAGTATTCTTCGGCATTAACAACAACAAAATGGTATGAGAGCTTGGTCACCTGACCTGAAAATCTGAAACCTTTTCTCTTTGTCAATCAACTTTTCACATCTCTAAAAAACTCCTCTGTATTAGACCTTTTTTCTTGAACTTATGGCCACTCAAACAGCTTCTCTTTTACCTCATGTCTTCAATGGTAAGCAGTACTACATATGGGCTGTCAAAATGAAGGCATATCTATGGGGTCAAGGACTCTAGCAGTACGTAGAGGAGGAGAAACAACCCCTTCAGTTGGGACCAAATCCCACACTAAACCTAATCCGATTGCATGAAGAAGAAGCTTCAAAGGCTCTAATAGCCTTGTCCCACATTCACTCAGCTGTCATAGACCTTGTTTTTACAAGGATCATGGCATGTGAAATAGCAAAGGAATCATGGGACAAGTTAAGAGAGGGGCTCATGGGGAGTGACACTACAAGGAATATGCAGGTGTTGAATCTAAGAAGGGAATTTGAGACGTTGATCAGAATGCAGTAAGCTGAGAAAGTGAAGGAATATGTTTCCAGATTGATGAGTGTAGTCAACAAAATCAAGTTGCTTAAAGTGGAGATGACAGATAAAAGAATAGTGGAGAAGGTGATAGTAAGCTTACCCGAAAGATTTGAAGCAAAAATCTCTTCTTTGGAGGACTCAAAGGACCTGTCTCAGATTGCTCTGACTGAGCTGGTCCATGCTTTGCAAGCACAAGAGCAGATAAGGCTCCAGAGGCAAGAGGATGCAAGTGAGGGTGCAATGTTAGCAGCTCACAAAGGCAAGCCTACACAAGGGAAAAACAAGAGGTTTGCTGGAGATAAAAAGGGAAAAGAAAGGTCTAATACTCAGTGGAACAAGACTAGTGGAATGAAGAGTTTTCCACCTTGTTCTCACTGTAAGAAGAAGGGACATGCAGAGAATAGATGCTGGTTTAGGCCAGGAATACAATATAGGGCCTGCAAGCAGTTTGGCCACATTAAAAGGGTCTGCAAAAACAAGGGAGAGCAGACCCAATAGCAAGCTCAAATGGCTGATGAACAGTAGCCAAGACAAGGGATAAAGCAGTTATTTGTGGCCTCATCCAGTTTGATTCAAGCATGTGATGAAACCTGGTTGATTGACAGTGGATGTACACATCACATGACAACAGACCTGCAGAGTTTTGTGAACATGGATCATTTACATCGGTCAAGAATCAAAGTGGGAACTGGAGAGTTTGTGGAAGTGAAAGGGAAAGGAGATGTTGTTATCTAGACACCAATAGGTATGAAGTTTGTTATTAATGTACTTTATGCACCTGAAGTTAGTCAAAGTCTCCTTAGTGCGGTACAGATGTTAGAAAAGGATTATGCATTGGATTTTGAAAATCAATCATGCATAATCCTAGACAGTGAGGGAAGTGAGATTATGAGAGTAAGAATGGTAGGAAAGAGCTTTCCAATCATGTGGAAGAATACTCTACACAAAGCATGTAATGCTAAGGAAGATGAAACTGAGATGTGGCATAAGAGATTAGGCCATATACATTATAGAAGTTTAAGAGAAATTCAGTCCAAAACTTTAGTTTAAAATCTGCCAAACGTAGAAGAACCAAAAGGAGTTTGCCAGGCAAGTCAGTTAGGCAAGTTGAGTAGAAAACCTTTTCCTGTGAATCAAGCTTGGAGAGCCTCTGAAAAACTTTAGCTTGTTCACTTGGATGTGCGTGGCCCTATGCAAACCTTATGTCTAAGTGGAAGTAGGTATTTTGTGTTATTCATATATGACTGGTCTCGGATGTGTAGGGTATATTTTTTAAGGTAGAAAACTAAGGTGGTTGGAGTATTTAAGAAATTCAAGCAGTTGGTGGAAAACTAAACAAGAAAGACTATCAAAACCTTGAGAAGTGACAATGGCACTGAATAAACTTCTCAAGAGTTTGAAATGATTTGCAAGGAGGTTGGAATCAGACATCAATTCAGTAGCCCTTATACTCCACAGCAGAATAGAGTTAGTGAGAGGAAGAATATAACTGTTATGGAGATGGCAAGATGTATGGTGGCTGAGAAAAAACTTTCCAAAATTCTTCTGGGCAAAGGTTGTTAATTAATATAGGGGTGTATTTGCTTAACAAACTTCACACAAGAACCTTGATCAACCAAACCCCATTTGAAGTCTGGACTAGAGTCAAGCCAGCTGTGGATAACCTTAAAGGTTTTGAAAGAATATGCTATGTTTTAGTACCAACTACAAAGAGAACAAAGCTGGATGATAAAGCTTTGATAGGAATTTTTATTGGCTATAGCAACCAATCCAAAGCCTATAGGGTATACATTCCTGAGTCAAAGAAAATTCTTATTTCCAGAGATGTTAAAGTTGATGAGAATGGAGTCTGGAATTGCGAGGAAGGTAAGGTTGATGTAGAATCAAGACCCCAATTAATTGAAGCACCAACTAATCAGTTTGAAGAAGATCAAAGGGATGAATATGATGAAGAAGTTTCTGTCAGAGGAACAAGATCTCTAGCTGATGTGTATGACAGATGCAATGTGTCACAAATGGAACCTTCAAGCTACTCAGAATTAGCAAAGTCAGAAGCCTGGGGACTACCATGAAGGAGGAGTTAGCCATGATAGAAAAGAATCAGACCTGGAAGCTTATGGACAGACCAAAAAACAGAAAAGTGATCCAAGTCAAATGGATTTTCAAGAAAAAGCTAAATATGGATGGTTCAGTTCATAAGCATAAGGCTAGGTTGGTTGTTAAAGGATTTGTTCAGCAATATGAAGTACATTTCCTGGAGACATTTGCACTAGTTGCCCAGCATGATACCATCAGATTGCTGCTTGCTTTGGCAGCTCAATTTTCCTGGAAAATTCATCAATTGGATGTCAAATTTGCCTTCTTAAATGGGCTGGTTGAATGAGGAGATTTATGCTGAACAACCAGAAGGGTATCAGATTCAAGGAGGAGAGGGAAAAGTTTACCTATTGAAGAAGGTCTTATATGGCCTAAAATAGGCACCAAGGGCTTAGTATAGTAGGATTAATAACCACCTGATCAGTTTAGACTTTGTGAGAAGTCCAAATGAGCACACTTTGTATGTTAGAGAAGTTGAAGATAATGTGATGATCATTTCTCTGTATATAGATGATCTTTTGGTGACTGGAAGCAAACATGCTCAATTAGAGGAGTTCAAGAAGTCCATGCACAATGAGTTTGAAATGACAGACTTAGGGGAAATGTCATACTTCCTTGGGATGGAAATTGATCAGGGTGCAGATGGAATTTTCGTGAACCAAAAGAGGTATGCAAGTGAAGTTCTTAAGAAATTTAGCATGGAGAATTGTAAACAAGTGGATTTACCATTGGTTCCAAATGCGAAATTATCAAAGAATGATGAGACTAAAAAGATTGATGAAGGGTTGTATAGGAGCTTGATTAGTTGCTTGCTGTACTTGAAAGCAGCCAGGCCAGACATAATGTATGCCACGAGTATGTGGTCTAGATTTATGAGTCAACCAATAGAGACTCATTTCAATGCTGCAAAAAGGGTGCTGGATATGTGAAGGGCAGCACTGACTTTGGGGTGCGGTTTAGAAGATCAGAAGACTTCAAATTGGTTGGTTTTTCTGACAGTGATTTGGCTGGTTCAACAGATGACATGAGAAGCACTTTAGGGTATGCATTTTTCTTGAATTCTGGTGCAATATGTTGATTATCTAAGAAGTAAGAAATTGTGGCTCAATCCACAGCATAAGCAGAATATATCTCGGTTGCCGTTGTTGTGAATCAAGCCATTTGGCTAAGGAAAATACTAGAAGATTTGAAGTTGAAACAAGTAAAGCCTGCTGCAATCATGTGTGATAACCAATCAACTATGGCAATGGCTAAAAATGCAGTGCATCATGGACGTACAAAGCACATAAAAATAAAGTTTCATGCAGTAAGAGAGGCTGAGCAAAATGGTGAAGTGGAACTGATTCACTGTAGGGGTGAATTTTAAGTGGCTGACATTATGACTAAGGCTATTTCCAAAGCCAAGTTTGAAGATTTCAGACTCAGACTTGGTGTTTTCAGCAAAAATATCAAGGAGGAGTGTTAAATTGTGATATTTTGCTAGAAATGTAAAAGTTTGTTAAGTTAGTTTTTGAATCTATTCTGGCGCCAAAAGGGAACTGCAATCTGCCGTCTCTGTTTGTTTTATTGAGCAGCTGTATATGTTAGATTTTGTGATAGATTTAGGTGTGTATAATCGGGATATATGGGACTTGTCCATAATGGTTGTTGTAGCAGGTCTTAACGTATGGTTTAAGATTAATGTTGTGTAAAATATCCCTACAAAGTGGTTGTAAACAGTGGATATTTTTGCTTTATTTGTTTTGTTGAAAAACTTGGTTATGCAATAAAATAAAAAAGAACATTCTCTTCAATTTCGACTATTTCTTTTCTTAGTATTCTCCGGCATTAACACCAACACAAAGTTTGGCGACAACTTATATAAATTGTCTCCTTCCATTATTAAAAGGCATGTGGCAACAAAGTAAAACTCTAAATAGGTAAAAACAGAAGCTATTACTGTCCCTTTGCGACTGAAAGCATGGCCTGCAATATCAATGTAGCTCATGATCTTATCGGGATCTTTATCCATACACAACTTTATCAGAAGCGCAGTGAAGCAGGTTGCAGCTGCAATCAACAGAAGAATGATCAAGCTTAACCAGCCTCCTGATGAGAGAGCAAATGGGACTGCTAATATGCCAATACCTGAAGAAAAAAAACAAATAAAAAGATAGCATAAGTTCTCTGTTTAGTGTAAAGTTATAGTGTACTCGAAGCATTTGATAAGTGCTTTTATAGAAAGATAGCTTCAAAGTACTTATTCAAAAAGTAGTTCTAGTCTAAAGCATTGTTCATAAAAGCATCTCAAATTGCACTTAATTAGGTTGAGTTTAAGAATGCTTTTGTAGCATTTGTAAGTGGTAACATAGAAACTTTAAAGTGCTTTTCTTATGTAACAAATGCTTTGTAGTGTATCTATCAAGTGATTCTTAAAGTGCTTTTAGGGATTAAAAAGTATCTTAATAAAACACTGCAAGATTAAAGTTAAAAGGCTTTATGTAACTGGAAAACATTTAAAGAAACCGTAGACAAGATCATGAAAAGTAATACAAATTAAAAAATAAATAAATAAACACTAAACCCATTTACTTTTTATTTTTTAGTTTCTTTTTATCACTGTATCAATTTGATCAAGATCTTATAATATAATTCTCAAACATATCTTTAAGATTCTATTGCAACGAAAACCCTTAAAAATAAGGTTTTTTATAAATTATTCTAAAGACAAAAAATCAAAACAAGGGTAACTGAAAGTGCATTTATGCCATTAAAGCATGTTTTGAGGAAATTGGCTTCTCTCTTTTCATCAATGGTCATAGATTGATTTTTTTTTTTTTTTTACTTCGCTGAGTGAAGAACGAGAGCCTTAGCTCAAATATACAAACAAGAAAGCAAGACTGGCCAAGAACTGAACAATCTTATTTTATCAAAAGAGTTTAAAGAGATTGAACTTCCCTCTCTCTTATAACAAACTTTAGTAATTTTCTGAGGGATAGTTACCAAATAGTTATACTAAAAATCCAGTGACTTTCTTAATATTATTAGGAATTAACGACTTTTCCCCACCAAATATGGTTTAGCGACACTTTCTCACCCACACATTTAAAAATAATTTTACGACCCAAATTTATATTCTGGCACGAACGAGAGCCAACTCGTGCAGTAGTTGAGGCTTTTGAAGGGGGAAACGATAAGTCCTTTGGCAGGAAGGTTGGATTTTGGTGGTTGGATTGATCGGAAATGACTTGGGAGGGATGGCTGCACAAACTTTAGTCGCTCGATTGTCATCCTATTTATCAAATTTTAATTTTATCATATCTTAGTATATTATTATTAGTTCTCTAATCTTTGTTTATAATCCTTAGTGGTCTAATTACCATTTTGGTGTTTGTACATATTTCCATTCTAATCATCTATATACCAACTTTTAACTTATTATCAATAATCAATTCTTGTGTATAATGATTCTATTTTATTATCTTTTGACTTTGATGACCATCGTGAGTGTGATGTTCAAGCATAACAATATCAACAAATTAATCTCTTAAAAGAACCATAAACGAAAACAAGAGATCGGATTTCATGAACATTGAATATAATAACAAAATGTGAAGGGATTATCGTTTGATTTGTGGTCTGAAAATAAATCTTAAATTTAAAATATGATTCAAATTTTTTATTACATCTTAGTAGTTTTTAATATCTGAAAATATGGAGCTTAGCTTTACACCTGAGAACCCTGAGGGGATGGGGCCGAAGCTGATTGGAGCCCAATTCCGCTAATTTAAGACAGGGAATGGTATGGAGGCTGATTAACCCTCAATGGAAGGAAAATGTGGAATCAGATGTAGGTCAATACATGGTTTATGAAATAGAGAAAAGGATCCACTTGTAGCAATGGAAAATGACCAAGGGGAAGGTTTGGCGAATGCCCCAACCAACTGTCCTATCATGACTAGTTTTGCATGTTGGAATATTAAAGGCCTTAACCAGACCCACAAACAAGAGGAGGTTCGTGTTTTTATATGGAGAAGCGCTCACAATTTGTTCTCTCTTAGAAACTAGGTGAAGAATCAAAATGCCGATAGGATTTTTGATAAGGTTTTTCGAAATTGGAAGTGGTCTTCTAATGTTGACTCGGGACTCAGGGATGCAGATTGTTTTGGGCTGGAATCCAGCATCTATGATGTATTATACAGGGATGACAAATCAAGTTCTACACTATAAAGTGGAAGGATGAGTAATGGTGAGGGTTTCATTGCTCTATCATCTATGTAGTTAATGATTATATGGGGCGACATATATGGGTTTAATACGGGCATGGAGGATTTTCGTAATTGTATGGCAAATTTGGAGATGGAGGATATCAGCCAAGTAGGAATTATGTTCACGTGGAATGGAAAACCCAATGGTCTTAATGGAGTTCTAAAAAAACTAGATAAAGTTATGAGGTAATGCTTGTTTCCTCTCTAAATTCCCAGAGTTAACACTTTCTTCTAGCCTCAAGGATTAATGATCATAGTCCTTCAGTTATGCTTTCCCTGTTCATGGGGAAATAGAACCAAAGCCTTTCAAGTTCTTCAATTATTTGACGTACAAAGATGATTTTAAGCCCTTAGTGCAACATGTTTGGTCTATGGATAGTGTAGGGGTTCTCATTCTCTATGGTGAAAAAGCTAAGTCTTTTAAACCTCATTTGTGGGCTCTTAATCAAGCCCAAGGAAAACCTAAACAAAAAGTTTCATGCTACGTTAGGAAGTGAGCAAATCCAGCAGGCGTTAGATCTGGATCCGCATAATCAAGAGTTGAAGGAATGTGAGGCGGCCTTCTATAGTGCTTTCAAGGAAGCTCTTTTGGATGAGGAGAGGTTCCTAAGCAAAAATCAAAATTCATAGTTAAGTGTGGGAGATCAAAACTCAGCATATTTCCACAATTCTCTTCGTTCTACCACAATAGGAGAATAGTGAATCGCCTTATTTCGATTCAAGAGAGCTGGTTGAGGGTGGGGACTTGGAAAATATTTTGTTTCATATTTTCAAAATCTCCTGAGTAGTCTCAGGTGAGGGCGTTGGAAAGCCTAAGGACCTGGGTTCAAGGAAGTCTCAAGTTCTAGTGTTGTTTAGACTAGGCCAATTACAAAGAGGAAGTTGAGAAGGCTATGTTTGGGATTGTGATGATAAGGCCCAGGGCCTGCGTTTTTTGGCTAAATTCTTTAAGAAATCATGGGGAACGGTAGGGGAAGAGGTTTGAAGCTTATTGATTTCTTCATTAATGGAGAATGCTGAAAGAAATTAACGTTACAGTTTTGTCCTTGTCCAAAATTGGAGGTGCTTTATTAGCAGCATTTCTGACCCATCTCAAATGCAACGTCCTTTATAAATGCATCTCTAAAATTTTAGCTAATAGGTTTTAGGATGCCTGGCTGCCCTGTGGAAGAATCCCAAACAACTTTTATCCAGGAAGGCAATTAGTGACAAGTTTATTAGCATAGGAGCTTTTCAAGAAACTACAAAAAATAGAGGGGCTGCTAAGTGTGCTTTAAGGTAGACATAAGGAAAGCATATGACTGTGTGGACTGGAATTTTTGATTTAGACGCTGCATATGTTGGGTTTCCCCCACAGATGTTTGTTGGATTGGGAGTGTATTACCTCAACACCTTCTCGGTGTCTTTGAATGGAGAGCTTTACGGTTTCTTTCCTGGGAAGAGAGGGTTAAGGTAGGGATTCTTTGTCCCCTATTTATTTACCCTAGTTATGCAAGTCCTCTCCCTTATTATTCGTAAACGAGTTCATGTAAGTGAGAGATTGTGATACCATACAGATGTAATGCCCAAGAAATCACAAATCTTGTTTTGCAGATGATCTCTTTCTCTTCTATATGGGATCCTTACTCAGTCCAAATGCTAAAAGATGTTTTAGGTAATTTCTCGTCTGATCAAGGTTATGA